CACACATCATCATTGTTATCAACGCCAAACTCTGGAGCATCTTTGACCCATATGACACAATGTGCATGTGGTGAACCTCTAGCTTGGAACTCAATTCTGATGGCATAGTCAACAATTTCACCTAGTGGCTTAGCAGTGGACTTCAGAAAACCTTGGAAAAGTGAATTCAGTCTGTATTGAAAGTGTCTAGCTGCAGTAACTGGGTTACGCTTTAGCCAATTGGATTTGTCATCAAATGAAAGTGCAGCTACATCATCATCAGTATAATGGACACCATACTGTCTAGCAATGGTTTGGATCATATCAGGCCACTTGAGGTCTGCTGCTGACAATGTGAAAAACCATGTTGGTGTGCCAAGCTGGCGTATCATGGCTAGCAAATCATAAAATGTTCGCTGGTAATATGGTGGGGAGCCACGTATGTTTTTCATAAATGAGTAAGCTTTGTCTTTTCGCACATACTGGCTTAGTATTGTTTGGTCTTTAGCTTGTGCAGCTGTGAACTGTCTACATGGCTTTTGTCTCATGGCAAAGTTATTACCATCATCTACCACTTGCTTAGCCTCAGCAATATACTGTGCAACAAACAGATAATCAAGGTCTCTAGCAAATCTGCCATCAACATCTAATAGTCTTTGATTGAAATACTTTCTATAGGTTAGCTTTCTTGGCCGATCACTGCTAAATGTGCCGGTACCATATGGAAATTTGCCTGGGTTTGACATGGCTTCAAAAGTAAGATCAATCATTATGTTTAGTGGTCTCTCTCCTTCAGCTGGTGCAACACACATGGTATGTCTAAAGCTTTCAGCGTTTTCAACACACATCATGCTAGCTTGCTGGGTACCACTGATTTGCCTTCTATGCTCATCTCCTTCTTCAATAGTGGCATCATCTAGCTCATTATCAGCAACAGATTCTGGCTGTGGTTCAGGCTGTGCTGGCATAGTAGATTGTGGTTGTTCAGGTATTTTGTTAAAACCCACATAATGGTACTGCATTATCAGCCCAACAAACACTTCATTATCAGCACAATGGTTTCTGGGAGTTACTGAATACATAGGATAGTGGCTAGACAGTACATTGATAGTCACACTGAGCATATCAGATATAGCCTGCATAGCAATATTGTCACCCCAGGCACCTTGTTTTAGACATCTCAGATATTTTTGCCATCTAAGCTCTGTTTGCAATTCAGGGTCTGCAATACTGTCAATATACTTGTCCTCTTGTGTTTTAGGTTCAGTGTCTGCATTATAGTCAACATCATTATAGTCATCATTTTGAGCTACTGGCTGACACAAAAATCGCAATATGAGGCTCTGTTAGCTCCCAAGTAGTCAGCTACTGTTTGCCTTAATGAGGTTCCACTGTAAAATGCATTCATTCACTGAGTCCCATCTTTAATACAGCCCTTATGCACTTTCACCTTTACATCCTCCGAGTGGCCATGGGTGATCAGTGCTATATATATAATTATTAGTGCCTAGTATTATAACCCCCATATAAATTGCATTGAGGCTCTGGACACATTTGTGTCCGCGGCTGGTTTTAAAATGTTGATGTCATTCACCTTTGGTTGCATTCTGCCAAGCAATGAATGGCATGTACATAAAACATTTTGAATAATTATGTCATAATCGAACTAACACGATAATTAGCGAGCCCACCTAGGCATCTTGATGTGGAATTTTTTCATAATTCAGGGACCAACATACTGCAATATTAATTTAAAGACACACACATCATACGACGACAGCATACAAACAGAATATCGTTGAAATAATGTCACAATTGTTTGTAGGTGAGAAGGGGGCAAGGTTTACTCTGCACGAGGGACGACAGTAGCCAGAACTACCACTATGACGATCAGAAGACATAGTATCATGAATGGTAGCCACGTCTTGAGGAATCCACCAACTCTGTATAATGCAGAATTGTGGCAGTATCACTACTAGATAGATGTACATATACAGTTTTCTACTTTCAACAGAGCTGCCAAGTTCGTGTATGCAGCATGCGTAACATTATATTTAACCCTCGGCACGCATACGCAGCGAGGGGTTACAGTAGTTGGTGTGTCAGTCTGTCTGTCTGTCTGTGTGTCGACGCTTATTCTGGCACTACAGGCTATGAGGCGGCCTATTAGAGATACCAGCGGCTTCAGAACTATGTACGCGAGCCTGAAAAATAAACGGGTGATTTTCCTGAAACGACTGCGTTCGAGAGATATGCCGTGAAAACAAGCGAAAATGTCAATATGGATAATCGCACTGGGCTTACCGTGACCCGATCCACTCACTCTGTGTACCTTGGGGGCTCAGGAAGTCACAACGAATGGCATGTATCGACTCCCGCATGCTACAGTATCTACCACTGTAGCTAGCCCGTGTCAGATACTAGGGGAGACCACGGGTAAACGCATACAAATAGCCAAGCCCATCGATTAGCAGTATCGCGCATGCGCAGTTCACCGAGGGTTTGCACTTTAGTGCTTTTCATTTTGTGTTGTAAGTATCTTACCAATTCCGTAATTTGCCGTACTCCCATAGGTAACGTATGGGATAATAGCTATATAGCGCAATGTCCATAAATTAGTCCGTATATGATTATGCGCACTTGGCAGTTTTATTTTAACAGGATCTGGAGGCTCGAGACTATCGTTTAGTAAAGTGACTTACCCAGTGAATTTCCCGTAGAGGATGACAAGGAGCCCCAGTTTGAACATGTTCCATGAGGAGGACCCGTTGTAGCGCATGAGGTTGAGGGCCCTGGCCACGTGCGAGTGGCAGTTGTCACAGCACAAGTTGTGCTGCAGGAAACACAGTTTGTATATACAGCAAGATTTACATAAGCACGTACTTAAATGAAAACCCCCGCGTAAATGAAAAGCACAAACAACCCTTTAATTAAATGTTTGTAACCAAACAATGTGTTTCATTTGTTTGAGTACTTATGTATTATAATACAGTGTAAATACGTATTTTGTAGTTTTACCATTCTATGTCCATATTCCTCTGAGGCCTGGTGGACAGAATCATCCCACGTACTGCTCTCTGCCTTGGAGGGACTCAGTTGCCAGTACCTGAACCAGTACAGAAGATGTGTGTATAGCAGCATAAGGGCACAAACGACCTGTCCATTTGATATGTGTAACTATATACAGGGACATGTGATGCAGAAGCCAGTAGCTATACATGGGAAGAATGTAAATACTCTCCGTGCCAGCGTGTATATACATGCCATAGCACAGTGGTTTGAGGTTTGCCTTGTGTTGTGTTGTGTTGTAGATTCGAACCCCTACCAGCTGAGTTGGCCCTGGTAGCTCAGTTGGTAGAGCCCTCGCCTAGACTGCAGAGTGTCGTGGGTTCAAATCCCGACCCAGGCAGCTCTTCTTCTTTTCTTTGAAAAGAGAAGAGCTGTCCTGGGTGTAGTTGACTTGTTTGCCTTGCCTTTCTACCTCGTTACCAGTTGTTGAGACATGCTTACATTACTCACATTGTGGGCCTCCAAAGCCATGTTGTCCTCCTGTAGTGACACAAGTTGTACATACAGAGACCCAGGAAAGAAGAAGAGTCAAGAAAGAAGAGTTAAAGGATAGAGTTAGTTAGATATAAACCAGCAAATTACAGCACAGTGTTGTGTAGGACAGGCCATATCTTAGCCCGTTCATAGTATGCACATAAAAGAAACTCCAATTATATGACATTGTACTGTACGGTGTATGCATTCTCAGTATTAATAATTGTGGGAATAACTTAGCCTGCACTGCGGTATTCTCATCACAGTGCAGTGCGCGTTACTCCTTCATTTAGTCTACCACTCTGTACACATGCCGTATACATTTGTTATATGTATATACACAGCAGTCAGTACCACCACATCTTGTGTGTCAATGACAGTGGTAGACCAAAGCCTTGACAGACTGATGTGTGTAAAGCGTACAACAGTGGAGGGGATAATCAAGTATTACACATACAGACTAGAAGGCTTTTCAAGATATATATTATGTACATGCAGTTTGTCATCTAACTACCTAAAGCTGTTTTTTCCTTTCCCATTTGTGTACTGAGACTTGTTGTCACACTACGTATGTACTACGTCGTGTATCATACCGAGACAAAGTAAGGTCCAGCAAAGTCCCTGATGACTCCAGCACTGGTACATATCCCCATGTGGCCAATGATCGGTATGAGCCACCTGTTGGAACACACAACTCACTAACAACAAAACCTTTTACATACGCCAGTATCGAGGTGTGGAATACAAGAAGGTACACGTGTACATACATGTAACAACGAGGTAACAGCA